CCACCTTAGAGCCCGCACAGCCCACCTTGGAGCCCGCACAGCCCATCTTAGAGCCCACACAGCCCACCTTAAAGCCTGCACAGCCCACACAGCCCACCTTAGAGCCCACACAGCCCACCTTAGAGCCCGCACAGCCCACCTTAAAGCCTGCACAGCCCACCTTAGAGCCCGCACAGGCCACCTTAGAGCCCGCACAGCCCACCTTAGAGCCCGCATAGGCCACCTTAGAGCCCGCACAGCCCACCTTAGAGCCCGCACAGCCCACCTTAGAGCCCGCACAGCCCACCTTAAAGCCCGCACAGCCCACCTTAAAGCCCGCACAGGCCATCTGGAAACATCAGGGCGCCAACCCAGAAAAGCACACAGTATGTAGCTTCATCTTACTTTGTATTGCTGTATAATGTATTGCTGGGATTTGTAGTCCTCTATAGCCGGTCTCCTTACTCCCTCCCCCGGCCGCCTCTCCTCGCTCTCTACTCTATATTCTCAAAAAAATAAAAAATAAATGGCCGTGCGCTGCGCTAGAGTGTTCGGGTTTCACTTGAAGAAAAGGTGGAGCCGTTACAACTGTGCAAGAATGAAGGGAAAGCCGGCGTTCCCCTTTAGCACATCCACCGGCCTCTCACATAATATGAAGTGTAGGTGTCGGATTGATGTCCGTTCTCGGCAGTATTTCCAGGAAAGGTTCATCCACCCGTGTGACAGGAGTGTGGAGACCCCTGACAATCCTTCCACCAGGGAGAAATAAAGCCTAATGGCGGAGCAATGAGCCGCGCCGTGTACCTGTCAGAGACGGCAGCGATTGAGCGGTAATGACATCGCGCTCGTCGCAAAAAAACAGACAGGTGACATATTCCTGAGTCCCAATTAAACGTCGACCTGTCAGTGCTAACAAGCCCCCCCGTCCCGGCCGCGTCTCTGCTCCCGTATTAAACGCATGGCGGGCAGATAAACAGGATTCACACACGTCTGTGCCAGCGCTGCCTTGTCACACAGGTCCCCAATTTAAACCAAACAG